CCTTGATAAACAAAATGTAATATTAAATTAACTACTATTGCATCTAATAAGTCAGTTTAAATTTTCATAAATTAGTCACTGAAATTTAGCACATTTAATGGTTGGCAGCATCTTTAAAACTAGCTACTATGGCTATAGGCAGTGTTGGTGTAGGGACCACTGTAAATCGAACTTCCAGTTGTTGATATTTCCTTTCGAGATCGTCTTCGAGCGAGCAAAATAATGAAGGCAGCAACAACCATGAGCATGAGGATAAGTCCAGCGACAGCAATGGCTATGGCGAAGTTACGTTGGGAGATGCAGATGTTATCAGGATCGTCTAAAGCCTGAACAGACAATGCAAATTACTTTTACTATCTGATTTTAACTTATTCTTATTTATTTTATATCAACCACAGTATTATTTCTAAGGGGGCGTTCAATGTCAGATCAGCAATTAGTTTTTTTTTGTTTATTTTTAGGGAGAGAGGAGGGAAAATGCTTTTACGCACACAGGTAGCCAGCCTGTAGTGTGAGACTCCTGAAATTAGACTACTCACTACAAAACCCCCTCTACTCTGTTGGACACAGACCTGGAATTGTTTGTCACATTACTTCAAGTCAGGCCAACATGTGACCTAAGCCCTCAGGGCTCGCACCGTTTCTGACATTTAGATTCTTTATGACCTACACCACATCGTGGTGTCAAGGTCGAGCTTCTTGGCGCGGAGAATACCCTGCTGGATGTAATGTGACACACAGGTCCAATTGTCTGGACACACAGGGCCTCAACAACGTCACTCTCCGTCGACACACAATCAATGTCTCGAACCTCAATTGATGTCTTGGGCTCAAGTGCACGGACGGTGCCCTGGCTTTCAACAGCTGCCTTCAGTTCGGCAGTATAAGCAGCTTGTCTTTCAACTTACCCATTTAAAGGAGAATGTCTCCATCCCGGGTTTGTCTAATCGACCGTACAATCGTATCGGTCTGCTCCGGTTTAGCTTTGGCCGTTATTACGCCCAAGACCTCGGTAAAAGATCTCCCCCCTGAGGGTTTGACAAAGATTGCCTCCGTCTTGAGCTTTTTTGGCCGCGACCTTTTCGGAGCAGGGACCGAGCCGGGCCCTGCAGTTTGGGCCACGCGTCGGTTGGCTGTGCCTTCACTGCCTCATTCTTCATAGAGGCGACCTCCGCCCGCCTCAATTGCCTCTTTTCCTTTTTTAAAGGTGTTTTTCCCACACAGCCCCAGGAGTCTCTACCACTGACCCCTTTTGGGAACTTACCTGAAGGGGGGTCGTGGGTTGCTGTGCCTGTCGGCGCCTCGCTGGAGCTACAGCTACGTCCGAAAAGGATCTGGGCACAGCAGACGAGAGGTCCGTCTGAGTCGCCTTGGCCTTTACCGTGGTTTTTTTTTTTTTGGTCTGGACGCCATCTTCTCTTTTTGGAGGACTCTTCGTTGTGGATGGCCTCCGACGTTTCTTAGAAGGCAGCGCTCTTTCATCGGGCAGGGACACCACCTTTTCGGCAATCTTTTCCATGGTCGCCTTGCTTACCAGACGGCAGGCAAAGACGAAGCCAAGATCATCCTCTAGTTTGGCCATTCCATTTTCGACCACTTGATTTACGGCTCTCTGGGTCCGGAAGGAGTCCAGCATAGCCTTAATTGTCTTTTCCATGTCACAAAGCCGGGTTTCAATGTTTCTATCTGCGTCAAGATATTCCTGACGCATAAGCACAATCTCAGAGCTTTCCGACCGCAACGTCGCTGTGAAGGTTTCCTTCGGCATCCCTACAGCAGAAATTCTCGGCAGCAGAGTTCCCGGCAATGCCAGTTCGACATCTACATCGCCAACATTTTCTGCACCGTTCCCAGCTCCACTTGCCGAAGGAGATCCTAATGGGGGGAACGTAGAGCACTTGAAAGGTGCAGGTTGCGGAGATGTCCTCACGTTTTTCGGTGGTGGCGACCTCTTAAGCTTGGAGTTTCGATCAAAGGGGTTCTGCTCCACTTCAGACGTTTCTTCTTGCTCATTGGAGCTCCTATTCAATGATGTGTTTGTAGGATTTATATTAAAACTCATCGTGTTTTCTCCAGCGCATCGTGCTACAAGGAGCGGCCCGGAATCAGTCAGGAACGGGTATACCCTCGGGGACAAAAAACCCCTACCCCGGTTCCCCGGGGCCCGACCTCCGTTTGCCCAGCACCGGATACCTGATGTGCCGGGGGTTGCCCGTCGCAATGCAGAGCACAACCTCTGCATCCATGCCGCACTCCCTGACCAAGGACCGAAGTGGCTGGCTTCTCACGACCCACTGAGAATACCCATCGGCAGTGTATAGCCCACATTAACCCCTGCAACACAACAGGGGCACTCCCAGGGACTCCCAGTGAGTTCGTCGGTCACCCTTTTAGTCGCCTCTTACGACAAGCCCGAGAAGGCTGCGGTGCTATTCTAACCCAGTACCGCACGGGGGAGATCAGCGATTAGTGGAACAAGCTTTAATCCTAGCAATGCATAGATAATACAGATGTGCTTTCTAATAAGTAATAAGTCTATTTACGTCGGAGCTGCGCTGTTATTCATTCTTGGGTCCCGACCATCGATGAGTAGATCAGTCCTTTTTCCAGTATCGAAGCTCTGAACATGGATGTTGACAATTTAATACCACTACTTTTTATGAGACAAGTGTGATAAAAATTACAACAAAAATTATTGTGTTAGACAAGTTGTGGAGTGAAATTACTCAAGAATTGAACCCACCCCCATATATTGTTAGGATTGATAGGATGTGCAAATTATTAATGTTTTTACATCCTAGTAAATAAAATTAACTGCATTTGATGCTAAAGTTAAATCTTCTTCAGAATCACTCATCACAAACTCGTTTTCAACAAAACACGGACCCACGAATCAACCTATCAGCGTGAGTGTCACGGCTCAGACTTGAACAGCTGATAGAAGCAGAGAGCTACTCCCTACTACATCAACTCTCCTCTCATCGATGCTATGATTGTTTATTGAACACACCCTAAGAATAACAAACATGGAAAGCAACATGTATGATTATAATCAAGTTAGTAAAATCAACCCAGACTCTGTACAAAATGTGATTCCTCCTGTTAAGAAACAACCAATATAAGCATTCAATATTATACGACGGTTATTCCAAAAGTAAGTTACAAAATAAAAAACGGTAAAATAAGTAAAAAGGTAATAAAAAACTCCAGAAAAACTTTGTAAAGGATATATTTTTAAAGCTACACTCAAAATCTATTTTTCTACATAGTTGCCTTGGTTTTCAATGCATTTTTGGTACCTTGGCAAAAGTTTTTTTTAAACCGGCTTCATACCAATCTGCCGCCATACTGTTTAGCCAACTTTCAACTTCTTGCTTTAGATCTTCGTTGTTTGCAAAGCGTTTTCCCCCAAAGATGTTGCTTCAGCTGTGGAAAGAGGATAGTCGCTTGGTGCGAGGTCAGGGGAATAAGGCGGATGTCCAAAAACATCCCACCGAAACTCTTTAAGCAGGTCTTGTGTTCGTCTGGCAGCATGTGGGCGAGCGTTGTCGTGGAACAAAAAAACTTTTTTTGTCAACTTCCCTCTTCTTTTGTTCTGTATTGCCCTTCGTAGGTTTTTTAACACCTCACAATAACATTCTGCGGTAATCGTGGTCCCATGAGGCAGGTAGTCAATCAGTAACACACCCTTTGAATCCCAAAAGACGGTTGCCATAACTTTTCCTGCAGATTGCACGACTTTTGCTTTTTTTGGTGCAGCCTCATCTTTTGCTTTCCACAACATGCTCTGTTTTTTTGTTTCGGGAGTCCAATGGTGAATCCATGTTTCATCTCCGGTCACTATTCGGTCAAATAAACCATCCCCTTCATCATCGAAAAAATTGCTGAAATTGCAATGCTGCATCAATTCTCTGCTCTTTGTGTTGTTCTGTGAGCAGACTTTTGAGAGGCTTAGATCTTCAGTAATTATTCGATGAAGTGAAGTACGGCTTATTTCAACATTTGGAGGCAGTTCAGTAAGGATGTCATCAAGTGTATGGCGGCGATCAGTGTCAATGACCCTTCGGACGTCTTCGGCAATGCCCGCAACTCGGGAAGTTGAAGGTCGGCCACTTCTTTGTTTATCATGTGTCGTCCATCAATGGATGATTGGCGCCAACGATGAACCATAGGCCTAGACATAACGTCATCACCGTACACACTACAAAGTTCGCGATGAATCTCAGTCGCATTTTTATTTTTAGCGGTCAAAAAACGAATGACTTGAACGAATGAGCACGCACTTCACAATCGGCGGCAGGAACCAGTGGTAACTCCATGACGGCTAGCGCCTGGCTGGCGTAGCGAGCCACGCCCAGCCTTGGGCACGTTGCACTGCTGCCACAACACCCAGACGCTAATTCCCTGCTACTCCCAGACTTCTCCCTCATACCGCACGGATTTGATAGAAAAGTGTAACTTACTTTTGGAACGACCCTTGTATAACAGAAATGATGTTTTGTTGATGTTAAAATATATATATAAATATGAAATAGCAACATTTAAATTGTGCTTATAGTAATATAAACTGTAAAATAAACAATATTCATTAAAATTACAAATACATAATCTTTGCACAGAATATTTTGTGGAATTCACTGCTTTATAGTGCTCTTTGCTGAGGCATAGTAAATTTTAGCGCTACACAGTCTTGTTTTTTTGCTTATAATATTACTCAATGCTTACCTTTTCTCTGTTCACCAAATCCAATTGATCTGGCACTCCAAGTTCGTTTGCTTCATTAACATACAAGCCACTGTAAACTTCAATGGTAGCCGGGCTACCTTCGCCATCATCATCATTACGTTTCCTTCGTCTCCTCTCGTCATTGCATGGCGGAGGCTAGCAAAAAATCACCAGTTATCCACTTATCACTTATTTATTGTACTTCTATTAATTTAAAAGTAAAGCCTTCTGCATGGTAAGAATCTTTCAAGAAATCACAAATTTGAACTTGCTTTGGAGTTAAGATATAATTAAATAAACCTTGAAGTTAGCAAATGTGGTTACGCATTACAATTTTTTATATAAAGTCCTGGTTATAAGGGAGTTCTTGTTAATTAGTATGATTTCATAGATGTATCACTATCTACAAAACAACTATTTTACACTAGACATCTGTAATAGTATATTATGCTCCAAGGCCAGAAAGTAGGGGTTAAGGTAAGAGCATAAAAGTTTCCAGCAGATTTCATGTGAATACTGATAATACCTTCCCGGGAGAGTCGTGTGAGATAATTTTCTCCACACTAACAGCAATCAAAATACAGGTAATGAAATTCCAAACTTAATTTTCAGTCAACCTGTCTTGTATATTTGCTTTAGTAGGGATTTTATAATTTCCCTGCACTCATCAATTCCTTTAAAAGTTATAAGAAAATATCTATTTACTCTCTAATATTTACAGTCTTGGCTTGATCACAGAGAAGTAAGATACAGAGGATACAAGCTTTTGGGACAAACTTGTGCTTTTAGCTCTGGTATGTTGGGGCGGAAGTGTACTAATATCGAGCAAGGAAGAGCCCAAAAAGCAATGGCCACATAGCATTACAGCAGTTGTAGCGTATATAGTCTTCTACAGTGTGAACGCTGTAGTATTTGATGGCGAGGAGGGAAAGGAGAGCAAGAGGTGACGACAAAAATAATTTGCTCTAGACTCCAGAGCCTGGTGCTAGATACCACGTAACATTGAATGTATCCTCTGTTTCTTACTTCTCTGTGGCTTGATTTTAGGGGGAACAAAATGCAATGGTATTCTCAATTCTGAGACCTATATGTCTCTGTCGAAATCCTAAGAATAAGTTATAGTTAAGCTAATGGTGTCGCTGATTTTCGTTATGCTATATCCTAACACTCCAGGAGGGGACTATGTAAGTATTGTGGAGGATTCTAATAAAAGTTTTTTATTCCTGTGAACAGCGGAGGATCGCTTTCCTTTGGAAAACAACCTGTAAACTTTTTCGAGTAGTGCATTTTCTGTTTTTCTAAGCTGGCAATGTTGGGCCATAAGTCCCAAGGCCCAGTCTTTTTAGCTCTTTGATTGACTGAACCCTAAAAATGAAAATTGTTAAATAAACATCTAAAAATAAATTGGGTAAAATAAACTTTTAAAGCTTTTTATCCAACCAAATAGATTGTTTTTAAGCACATAGTTTGTTTATTCTATTAATTCGTTCTTATATTACTTTTAGTTTTAATGAATACAATGTGATTTTGTTTATTTGTTTCGCCCAATTGTAAAAAGTCAATGTTAAATTTTATTGCCATTCCCTATTGCCATTTAAAATCAAATATTTTAAACTTAAAATTGCAAGCAAAAAGTTTGACAAAATACAAAATTGCATTTTTATTTACAGGAATAACTAAAAAAACGAATACATTTCAAATAAAAGGGAGCTGCCAGAGGGTTATAGCTGTTGAAAACACTGTCAAAAGGAGTTTGAAAGTATCAAAGGTACTCTTAAAAATTGTGAGTTGTGTGGACTTACTTGTTTTAATTACTCCTGAAGTTGTAGCTACTTTTCATAAGTATTTGATGAAACATACTTACCACATCTCCACAGCCGTCGTCAGCCTTGAGACAGAGACGGACATTGCACTGGTAGTAAACAGAGGCTGTATAGGGGAACTTGTGTGCTTGGAAGTGAACCAGAGCTGTAGTCATGTTGGAGCTGTAGTGAAACATTCCCATGATCTCCTGGTCTACTGGGCATCTATAACAACATAACATTATAACATTATAACAATATCCTAGACAGAGTATAGCAAACTTAGTACAATTTAAGTCAATTGCTTGAATACCACTTCTCGTTGGAATCATTGCAAGTTTTTTTTTTTAGAATTGACTTGTTCAGCCTTAACAAAATGCCGTCTTAAACACTTAACAGTTTTAAGCTTTTAATAAATGCTCACGTTTGTGTCCGTGGGACTGATACACAACAACTTAACTCAACCCACCGAGCATTTCTGTAAAAAAAAAACATGGCCATTGATTCCAATTCTAGGCCCAAAAACATGAACTCCATACAGTACGTGATACCATAGATTTCAGAATATAACATTCACTTTGGTCGATTTTCCATCCATTTAAAAGTTATTGGCAATAATCTAAGTGATCTCGAAATTTATAGTGGTGAGAAAATCCAGAATTAGTTATATTTTTGTTAAACTTTGTACAACTAAATCCAGACTTCTACCGGACCGATTTTGTTACTTAATGGGTCGTTGGAAAGCCTAATTTGTGTAGATTTGCAAATAATTATGAAAGTTTGATTTTATTACATATTTGAGGTAAAACAATGAAAATAAACAATATTACATTCAAAATGCCTTTTTTTCTAAGTTTATATTTCCAAGTTTATATTTGTAGCCATCTTTAGGCTGCCTTTATTGAGAATTTTCCAAAAATGCATAATGGTAATTTGTAGGAATTTTTATTCTCTATCAGAATATTACCTTCCACTTTGGTCGATTTCCTCACCATTTCAAAGTTATTTGCAAAAACGTTAAGCAACCTCCCTATTTATAATGGTGAGAAAATACTGAACTAAAGATTTTGTACAATTAAATCTACAGTTCTACTGAACCGATTTTATTAATTAATAGGTCATTGGAAAGCCTAATTCGTGTAGACTTTCAAATGATTACGAAAGTTTGATTTTTTTGATTTACTAGGTGAAACCCGTCAAAGTCTGACAGTTGCTGTTGAGGTTGCAAGAAAGACCGTTTGACTATAAATCGATGATAAAGAACTGCATTTTTTTTTTTTATTATTTGGGTTGTTCGTGATTTAGCAGTGTGCTTTAGGTACGTCCGATCTTAATAATCAATAATTAAAATGGAAGCCGGTATTTCACTGAAGGTTCTTAGGTCAAAACAAATAGAATAACGTAATTAGAATTGAGTAAATATATCTAAAACTAAATTCCATATCCAAGATATAATTATATTTATGTTTTCTGCGATTCAGGATATCTTTAACTTAACCGATTAAAACTATCAATATCTCAAGTGAAAGCCTTTGAAGTATTTTAAGACATATAAAATAACTTAAATAAAAGTTGAGTTACGTATCTTAGATTGCAGATAAGTACCTAAACGATTATAATTATTGTTGATTCATGATTCAGCAGTGTGCTTTAGGTAGGATTATTAAGATTGGAATCTTAATAATCAATAGCTCAAATGAAAGCTGGTATTTCATTAAAGGTTTTTAGACCAAAACATATAGGGTTATGTAATTAGAACTGCTGGAATACATCTTTAATTAGAGTAAAAAATCAAAAAAATCAAATTTAAATTTTTTTGTTGAGTAATACATTAGATAAATTAATAATGATGCTTGATGACAAATATATGCTTGCATAGCTTAATTTTTTAAGACCAAAATTATGAAAATCAGGCTGGTAGAAGAGCCAAACGAACTCGAACAAAAAATTTAACTCCCATAAGAAATGTACAGGGACGCATTTTGAGCATAACTCGAAATATACGTCAAAATGAATGCTGATGATTGATGGCAAATCTGTGGTGCGTCCATACCTTTAGTTTGAGGCCAAAATTATGAAAATCGGTCGGGTAGAAGACCTTTAACCCGACTCAGAAAAGAAAACCAATAATATTTATAGATGGCAATAATTTGTTTACCAGTATGCTTAATCTAAACATACGAAACATATTGTTATTTAATTGATTTTTCTTTGATTAGATGTTGTTGTTAACAATTTGCATTTGTGTTTAAAGTGAGTTCCTTATGTTAAGTATGCGATTCTAATGTTATGTGCTTAATCTGTACCATTAATATTAGTGAGTAAAGTGATGTATGGATTTCACAACCATTATTTTACTAGAGACCGTTGTATTTAACCACAACGGGCTCTGTAGCTAGTTATATTAATAAAAACTCACTTTATTACTCAAAAAAATTTAAAATGGAAAAATGTTTTGGAATTAATTTCCCTACATGGAAATGTAAACAGATTTCAATTACCATAATATGAGAAAAATTATATTTTTACAAAGTTATGACACAAATACAATAAAATGGTAAGTTTACTGATTTAGTTCTACACATTTCAAACGAAAACCAAATAAATGTTCTATCAAGAAATATAGTAAAATTACACATTTTTTGTAAAGGCTGGAGATCAAATGAATTAAGAGTTGTTCATGGAAAATGATCATTACAATAAAAATTTATATTATATAGAAACACTTTTTCATTCACACATGTATTTTATTTTTCAAACACATAAAACCCACATACCACATAGGCTATTTATAGTTATGAAGACAAATTATATTTATATTTTATAGAAACACTTTATTTATTTTATTCACACATGTATATTATTTTTCAAACACGTAAAATCCACATATCACATAGGCTATTTATAGTTATGAAGACAAATTGTTTTTTTCATGTGGTGATCAAATCGTTTGTTCATTATGATGAAATGTAAGGGGGAGCTAAATCTAATGTCCCAAACCTCAGTTTACAAACTAAAATATGTACAAATTTACAACGAATAAATATGATTTAAAGAGATAAAGTCATACCCATGATATACGTTGTTGGTAAACAGTCAATAAAGTTCACAAAAAACCTGCTAAAAATTGTGTCTCAAGTTTCTAATGTCATATTTCACTCAAAGCACAATAAATAATATCCAAATCAAACATTTACAAATACTAGTGCACCTGCTGCTCAAATTCAAGCAATTGCAAACTATTGCAGGCGTTATTTCAAAATGAATAACAGTCATAATTTACAATGACAGTCAACTTAAAGATAGTGAAATCAATCCAGTTATTGAAACTGAAAATAAACTCACTCTGAAAACTAACACTCATGTGTGTATCATGTGTTTACTATGAACAGCTGTAGTAATTAATACAACTAGAGGACCCATGCTGCCCTGTAGCGTTAAAATAAATATATTATCCGAGAAATAGCCTAATCAAATTTATGATTTTTAATTAAATAATACGGTATCTTGAGTTTAACTCATTCAAACGATTAATAGTTCAAATTGACGCCTATAATTTACTGACTATTTTGAGTCTACAACATGTAGAAAACATGAACAATACTGGAGCTGTTGATTTTCAATCATATTAAAATCTAATGAAAAATAATATGTTGGTTGTTCACCTTGCGTTTACTTGAAGCTCATCCGATTTGAATAACTAATAGCTTAAATGAAAACCAGTATTTCACTGAAGGTTCTTAGGGTAAAATATATAGGATTGTAAAATTATAACTGGTGAAGGTATGTCTTAAATTGAAGTAAGAATTAGAAAATAAATCAAATTATGTGTTTTGGTTCAGTAATACAGTAGGTAAATATCTGTCGATGCTTTATGTGAAAACTTGACGTGCATGCCTTCAATTTGAGACCTCAATCATGAAAATTGGTCGGGTAGAAGAGTCAAATGAACTTGAAAAAGAAAAACAAAATTTAACTCACATAAGAAATACATGGAAGCAAATTTCGTTAATATGTAAGCCAAGTGGGATGATAGATAAATACCTATATGCCGATGCTTGATGGCAAATCTGTGTGTGCATACCTTCAATTTAAGACCACAATCATGAAAATCGGTCTGGTAGAAGAGCCAAACGAACTCAGAAAAGAAAAACCAAACTTTTTAATTTATAAGATTATTTGTCTGTTTAATTAAACAAAATGTTTTCTTCATAAGAAATACAGGGTGGTTATAAATTATTGTACACATTTTAAGATTGAATAAATAAATAACCAATCAACTTAAGTTGATTCCCATGTTTTTAATAACATGGGAATTGTTTTATTAAATTGCAAATTTAAAACAGATACTGACTGAATATTAATAATTGTACACATTACAATAATTATAAAAAGGAGTTATAAAAAGAAAGTAAAAATGTCACTTAAACTGTGGGTGTAAGGTATGATTCTTCTTAATGACTTGTGTTGTGACATAGTCAGCTGGTCAACAATGGTTCTTTCCACACCAGCTGTTAATTACAGTTGACTAAACAAACACTAAACTAACCTCCGTATCAAAATGGCTAGTGTGCAAGAAAAAGCAAGGTGTGTTCTTTGGTTTCATGAAAGCAGATCTGTAATAACTGTTCAAAGAAGGTTTCGTTTAGAGTAATATGGCCGCAATCCTCCAAGTAACAATTCTATAAAACGCTGGTATAGGCAGTTTGAACAGACGGGAAGTGTCCAACATAGAAAAGGTCCTGGTAGACCTCCAGTTTCTGAAGGTATTGTTGATCAAGTAAGAGAATTGTTTACGAGGAGCCCTCTACTCGGCGTGCAAGTTTGGAATTAGGATTACCTCGATCAACAGTCTTAAAAATTTTGCACAAACACCTTAAGCTCCATCCATACAAAATTCAGTTATTACATGAACTAAAACCTAACGATAAACCTCAACGCTACGATTTTGCTGTTAGATTACTTGACCTCGAAGAACAAACAATAAACATTGGAGAAAGCGATTTCTTGAAAAAAGTAATTTTTTCTGATGAAGCAACCTTTCATGTTTCTGGTAAGGTGAATAGACACAATTGTAGGATTTGGGGTACTGAAAATCCTCATAATGTTCGAGAACAAGAAAGAGACAGCCCTAAAATAAACGTTTGGTGTGCATTGGCTATAGATGAAGTGATAGGACCCTTTTTCTTTGCAGAACCGACAGTCACTAAAGAGGTATACCTCGACATGCTTGAGCTTTTTGCAATACCGCAAATTGAGCATAGACAACCAAATGTTTACTGGCAGCAAGATGGTGCCCCTCCACACTGGGGTACCTAAATAACACGTTTCCTAGTCGTTGGATTGGACAGGATGGTCCAATTCCTTGGCCTCCACGTTCCCCAGACATTACACTCTTAGACATTTTTTGTGGGGCTATGTCAAGGACAGAGTCTTCGCCAAAAAAGTTCAAGATATTGAGGAGCTCACGAATAGAGTCCGAGAGGTTATTGGAAGCATAACTCCAGCAATACTCAGAAACACATGGTGTGAGGTTGAATTTAGACTACAAACTTTGCGTGCAAACCTCGGAGAGCACAAGGAATTAGTTTAGTTTCCTTGTAAAAGTATGAGTAACAGTAATCTTTTTGTCCTTCATTGGTAATAAAACTGTTTTAAATTTGCTATTTAATAAAACAATTTCCATGTTTTTAAGTTGATTGGTTATTTATTTATTCAATCTTAAAATGTGTACAATAATTTATAACCACCCTGTACATCGGGATTTTGATGGCCGAGGGCAAAGCCTGAGGACTTTTATTTTAGGAATTGGTGAAAGGGGGTGTCTACACAACAAACATTTAATTTTGACATATCATTTGTAAAAATCTGTTTATTATTAATGAAGGAGTAATGTTTTGTAGAAATCGCATTTATGTATTATATACAGGGTGTTTTTTAAAAAAACTTGCATCTTTTAGATAGAAATATGCAATTTGCGGGAATCAACTATTGACGTAGGGGGCCCAATTTTTTTTTAATTTAAGGTTACATTCACATTCCCCCCCTTCCCCTCCTGCCACCAACTTATTTTTTTTTAATAGCAAGGTACTCCTTGTGACATATCAAATGAAAGAGCACGAATAAAGAAAATGTTTGATGAAAAAAAATTGAAAATCGGTTCATAAATTTGTGAGATATTCCCCCCTCCCTCCCCGGAACTTAATTTTTTTTATAGCAAGGTACCCCTTGTGACATATCAAATGAAAGAGCATGAAAAAAGAAAATGTTTGGTGGAAAAAAATTGAAATCGGCTCATGAATTTGTAAGATAATCCCCCCCCCTTTTCTCCAACCCATAACTTTTTGTTTAATAGCAAAGTACCCCTTGTGACATATCAAATGATAAATAAATTTCACCAAACATTTTATTTTTTCATCCTCTTTCCTTTGATATGTCACAAGGGGTACCTTGCTATTAAAAATAAAAATAAGTTCCGGGGGGGATGGGGGGTATATCTCACAAATTTATGAACCGATTTTTAATTTTTTTTTCATCAAACATTTTCTTTTTTCATACTCTTTCATTTGATGTGTAACAAGGGGTACCTTGATATTAAAAAAATATAAGTTTGGGGCAGGGGGGAAAGGGGGGGAATGTGAATGTAACGTTGAATTAAAAAAAAAATGGCCCCCCTACGTCAATAGATGATTCCCGCAAATTGCATATTTCTATCTATTGCGGTTTTTACATAAATAAAGATGCAAGTTTAAAAAAAAACATCCTGTATAAGTATACACCTTATAGCCTAATCATGATGTAAACTGATAAAGTAAAATCTCACTAAAACTTGACTTTTAGTGTTGATGGTCAATACAGGGTGGCTGAAAAGTAACTTGCATCCCCCCCCCCCCCCTTAACTTTTCAACCATTTGAGATATTTGAAATCGGTTTGCGGCACCTTCTTAGAAATGAGGGGCCACAATATTTATGGCCAATTTTGAAAATTTTGCCCTTAGGGGTAGCGGGGGTAGGGGGTAAAATGGCAGCGCAAAATTACTTTGAATAACCATTGTCTCAATCATTTTTAGCTGCCATTTTGTTATTAATAGTTTGATTTCTATTTTCTTTATGCTAATTGTTATGTTTCATCAAGACCTACAAAATGATACCAAACTCAACTATACTTGCCTTTTGAAAATTTTTAGCTACCCCCTACCCCCGCTACCCCTAAGGGCAAAATTTTCAAAACTGACCATGATTATTGTAGCCCTTCATTTCCAAACAAGTTGCCTGCAAACCGATTTCAAATATCTCAAATAGTTAAAAAGTTAAAGAGGGTGCAAATTAATTTGTTTGCCACCCTTATGGTTATTTGGATTTGAAACGTTTTAGGGCGCCATTTTGTTGTTAGTGAGCCGATTTTGGTTTTCTTTATGTCAATGTTCATGTTTCGTCAAGACCTGTAAAATGATACCAAACTTGACTATACTTGTCATTTGAAAATTTTGAGCTACCCCTAAGGGCAAAATTTTCAAAATCGACCATAGTTATTGTAGCCCCTCATATCTAAGAAGGTTGCCACAAACCGATTTCAAATATCTCAAATGGTTGAAAAGTTAAGTGGGGGTGCAAGTTACTTTTCAGCCACCCTGTATAGATTGAGGTTTAGTTAGTCAGATAAATATTCATGAAAAGTATCAGCTGATAAATTCAGCACCAGTGGTGTAATTTAAAAAAATTAAATTACCAAAATGCGCAGAATTTCATGGACTTTCAAATGAGATAATTTATCATATGGATAAATATACAGGGTGTCCCGGAACTCTCTACCAATATTTTAGGGCATTGTTCCTGGGTAAGAAACATATCTAAATATCATATTTAAATTGTCCGGAAGTCCTTATTTACTCAGATAGCCGCCATTTTGTTTTTTCACTTATATTAATTTTTTTCTGAAGATTGGTTAAACATACGAAGTTGAAACTTTGCACAAACATTTATGACAACTATACAAAGCTACAAAAAAATTATGACGATTTTTCAAATTCATAAAACAAAATGGCGGCTGATTAAAATTTTGTTTCTTAAATTTCTCGAAAACCGTTGATTTTACAAAAATTTTACAAGAATAACTTTTTTAAGGCAATTTTATTAAAAATCGATCGACACTTTAATCTTTAAGATCGGACGAGTATTAACTGAGATATGGCAGTTTTAGTGATACGTGACCGCTTTCAGCATGCGCTGCAACTAATATGCGACTAAAATACTGCAAAATAAACAGTTATATTTAAACTGTAACAAAATCTATATTAGCATAAATGTTTAATGGCATGAAATATATCCAACAAATCAGTTTCATCTATTTATACAAAAATAAAATATTCTAGTGATATCTGTTTACAAAAAAATTGTATTTTTATACTACGGCATTTAAAATCTTGGACAGCAATATAATTGTCATTAAATTTCCTATCTGAATACGTATAGTATGGTACAGCTTCACTCATGTAAAATCTTGTTAATTCGACTTAAATAACAAATTTTTAAAAATCCATAAAAAGGGCCGATATTTTTACTCTTTTTATCGTAGTTAGAAGAATTATCATAAACATTTAAAGCATCCATCGATAACGGGATTAACGGGTTATTAACGGGTTTCACCTAGTTAATAATAATACAAAAATTTCGCCTAAGAATGCGTTGTTAAACAAATATTTAGTCTATATAATATGTTTAAGTATCACTATCAGTATTTTAAACCATCTATATGCTTATTAAAAATATAGGACTCTATTAAATTCAGTTGATCAAAAGTGAACACTTAACATGCTCATTGATTATTTTTATTATTTTTATTATTATCTATTATTTTTATTCTTAGCCAATTAATTCAAACTCTCTACATTTTAAGTTGGCATTATCTATTAATTCATTACTAGGAATGAAATTCTTTCAAAGATTGTCATAATACATTGGAAATTGTTACCTTTTAATGTTCCTGTAAATTGCTCTGCACTCTATATTTCACAACAACTGTCACATCTTGATTCACAACAACTGTCATATCTCCCTATGATTAACCATACTGTACATGTAAAATGATTAAAATACAAATAAAAAAATACTCAGTATTGCCTAAGAAATTTTGTTTCATCTATAGTATTGCATTTTAACTAGAAAGTGTAGAGATGAAACAGCGACCAGTTTGAGGTCATGCAATGTATCTATCAGCTGGTTCCTTATCTTTGAGTTTATCGTCATATTGAGCATAAACTTTCATTCTCTTGCTTTAGTTTGTGGTTAAAAAATACTGATGGTTTTGAATTAGACTTCTACAGATTTTGTATTTTTAATACTATTTACCAAGTTTAATAACTACCCGAAGTAGTATCGTAGTAAAAGGCTCATAAGTATATCTTTTACAAATCTAGTCAGATCTAGTATGGCCACATCATTTCCGCATAATGTATTATTCTTTAATATACTTCCTGCACTAAATGGTTTCTGACTCCTGTTAGGTGCATCATTAATATACCCATTTATTTAGTCTAAGAAAAAACTCAATCATTACAAGCAGTGTGGCATTTAAACTAGCCAATCTAAATAAGATGATTGGACACTGGTCCACTCAGGTCCTCTCTTGGTTTTTCAGTGGGATTGCAAAAAGCAAATTTTGTGTTATAGTTGATAACTGATATTAACATCTTAAAGAGTATACGAGAATGACTGCAAAAAAACAATATAATCGGTTTTATACATTTTATTATTCAAATTTACAATCAGGTAAAGCCTTCTGGTGTTCTTCTGCAGGCTTATCATCAAGACCCAAATGATCTAAGACAACACCACACTTGATGCATGAAACTGAACGCAGTTTTAATCATATCTTCAATACTCTGATATAATTTTGGCCATATAATAAACTTTTCTGTCATTATATTTTCAGTATTTTCAATAGACTTTTTGTGGTTAAAATAGTTTATGTAGTCATCTTCAGCATATTCACTAATTTTACACCTGGGATTTAATACTTTATGAAGAAAGTTCAAGTATCGTAATGATAATCTTTCACTGCCCGACTGCCAACCACACTCACAACATATTACTTGTTCATAACATTTTGTCCTCTAGAATCCTGATTTTACAAGATCCTTGTTCCGCGCATCAAAAATATCAGTAGAAGATTTCTGGGGTGATGATGAAGTTATAGATGTGACTAATGAGGAGTCCATTGATGCTGGCTGATGATTGAATCTTCTGTAAAACTCTTGATCTACATCACTGATTGATTTCTTGAATTTTGTCCACTTGTCAACATCCAGTGAAACACTCTCTCTTCAAGTTGGTGTGTATACACTAATGATTATTTTCGTTTCCAATTGGTCATTTTTGAATTGAATTTTCATATCATTTGTTATAATAAATTCTTCGTGAAATTCCATATTTACTGTTATAAACATTTACACACAGTATCAGATATCAAAGTAGACTGAAACCATACAAACTTGAAACATGGCTTTTATACCAAGAATTCTGTCTAGCCAACAAAATCCTCAATTGGTTTTCAACTATATCACTCTGGCTGTTAGTTACTTTTGAAACATGGATTGGACGATTAACAACGTTTGGGCTAGCATCACTAGATTGAGATTGAGCCCCCCGTGCGGTACCGGGTTAGAATAGGACCGCAGCCTTCTCGGGCTTGTCGTAAGAGGCGACTAAAAGGGTGACCGACGAACTCATTGGGAGTCCCTGGGAGTGCCCCTGTTGTGTTGCAGGGGTTGATGTGTGCTCTGCACTGCCGATGGGTATTCTCAGTGGGTCGTGAGAAACCAGCCACTTCGGTCCTTGGTCAGGGAGTGCGGCATGGATGCAGAGGTCGGGCTCTGCATTGCGACGGGCGACCCCCGGCACGTCAGGTATCCGGTGCTGGGCAAACGGAGGTCGGGCCCCGGGGAACCGGGGTAGGGGTTTTTGTCCCCGAGGGTATACCAGTAGTAGGGAAAAGCCGGTTCTGGATCAACCCCGACAGACCAGGGATTCTCATCTGTTTACTCTTCCACTCATCGAAAAGTTGTTTCTGCACCAACCTCCAGTAGACTAGAGATTTGCCCATTTTCAAGTTCAGCTGTCTCGTGGTGGCATGTAGTATATATATGTCTGTCCTACTTCGGGATCCAATATGGGCTCTTATGGGAGTCAAAATCGGGAGGTAACGAAGACTGATTACAACTTTTACCAGTAGTATATATATCTGTGTCCTACTCCCGGAGTTTATATGGGCTCTTATGGGAATACCTCCCCACAAAATCCGGAGGTGTTCTCCAACCGCCCCACATGGAGTATGTATGTTTGTCCTGTGCTGGGGTTTAATATAGACCTTATGGAGACAATTCCAACCCTTGCCTCATTCCTCTGGGGCAAAAATAATATTTTTTTTTGTTTTTTATTTTCTTATAGTGATCTTCTAGAAATTGTTTACAGTTGTCTAATGATGTTTCTTGAAATGTCATAACTGAATCCAGTTTCAGAGACCACGACTACGTATGCTGTTGTTCCGGCATCGGCTTGCGTGGTCGCGATAGCGTTTACGAAATCTAACTCAATCTGGATGTCACTTCTCGAGCGATCTGTGCTCATTGGGTGGAGATGAGTGTCTATCACCAACAGTGGATAATCATTCTTGAACTCTGAAGGAGATACGAACACATTGGTGTCTCCAAAGTTCACCAGACGATATCTGACTAACTGTTCGTATAACAGTCTCCATTTGCCTTCAGTGATGTGTATGTTCTGCATTTCTTGAGGATAACGTTCTCCGTTTATTTTCACTGCGACATTTTTTATGTTGCAACTATCAAAACGGGAGGGAATTTTCTTCTGGTCATTCCAACGGCTAGTTTGCAACCCCACAATGACAAATTTTGGGTTGTATACATTTCTATAAACGTTAGTGATATCGAAGTTGAACGAGGCCCCGAAAACACCTTTTTTCTCAATACACTGCCACTGGTAATAGTTGTATACCAATTTGCTATGATCACTCAAACGGGTCAACCCATCGATCAATTGAATCTTGCTGGTGGCCGTATACTCGACTAACGGAACTCGAAGAACGAAAGATTTGATTTCGACTTTTCCATCCTCTGGTATCGTGTCTGTTGCGGCTGATCCTTTCCAAACGAATAGTGCATCGTTATCTTCAGCACGGGTGAATACGACTTCGAATCCACCTTTGTACATTGGATACCGTAGATGATCGAAGAAGCCGAGACCGAGGTGGGCAAGGGTACCGATTACTTTGAAGTTGCCACCACCAGTGAATGTGGATACGAAACCACAATTTCCTAAAGAGTTCTTGTTCGAACTGGAATAGTTGAGGATTCCCTTGACCGTGCTTGTGACACCAGGATAGTCGACAGTGTCGATTGTGGTGTTGTGTTTCTTGAGTTCAATTCGAGTAAACAGAAACGGTACGAAATTGTCGATGAGTTTGATGTTTGTTTTATCAGCATAAGCAGCCCCGTCAGATTTCTTGACGACTTTACCACAAATGTGAAATTGTATTCCTGAATCGTAAAATGTGTCACCGTGATCGAGTTTAAAAACCGTGTAATTATTTGGAGTGTTGAAATTGAGTTCAGACACCGGCATGACAGAGCGGTATTCGCTCTTCACCACACCGCTTGAAAACTGATTGTATGTAGCATCCATTTGTGTTGGTTACTTAATAAAGGTCGAAAAAAATATACTATGTTAACATTACGATTTTACTCTTTAGACCTCATGCTCAGTAGCGAACTCAAGAGTCGTGTATTAAATCCATGATTACGTTCGTGTTCTTCGAGGAATTCCTTGGAGACGTTTTGATACTTTATGATGTAGTACCAATCTACGTTGCCTGCAAAATCGTGTATGAATGATTCAGACAGTGTTTGATATTTGCTGACCACATACCAGCACTCGTTAAAGTTGATAGCCATTTCCCGGAGGAAGCTCTCATCGAACTTTGTCCTCTTCAGTACGGCATACCAGTTTACACGATGGAAATACGTGCGTAACATGTCGATGCTGAAATCGTAGTTTTCGGATAGGAGACCCCAGTCGAGTTCCTTAGCGTACTTCATAACGAACTCGTCTGTGAGAACGCCCTTAGGTACTTTCGCTTCCCGAGAAAGAATCGTCCATGCGTTTTCCATGTTGTACTCTTTCTCCCACTTATATACATACAGACGTTCCTAGCCCGAGACCGAGTTTGCGCTTCATCCACATTGCACCAGTCGTACCGAGTGCGACAGCGCGTTCGTTTAGATCGGCGTCAGAAGACGTGACCCTATTCCAAGCAGCGTCTTGCAATTTCTTATCTGCCACCCATCGGTCTTCGGAACGCCTATGATCCCGATACCATATGTCATGTTTCTTGCATGCCTCGTCTAAGGGGTTGACTCCTTTGTCACCACGAGCCAGGCGATCAGATAGCTTCGTACCAGGTCCGCAATAAGTGTACGTATCAAGATTCCAATTACGTGGAGCGTGTAGCTCAAACGGTAAACTGTTGATTAAGTTGTTCAACAACCCCGATCCTTGAATAGCGTGTTCAGGTAACGCTGACAGACAGCGTATGAGATACTTCAATCCGTTTGGTCGTTCGATTAGCTCCTGCATGCGGTCGTATATGAATTTCACGACTGACAGTTTCTCATTGTGAAAGTTATTGTTTCCAGCAGCCTCCTCAGCGTGTATGAAATTGAGCCGACTGATCAGTTCGTTTAAATCCTTTATGTACCGATATTCGATTGGTGTTTTGTCACCGTACCGTTTCAACCCAGACCCAACTGTCTCTGTGGGTGTTGATGTAGTTGGGGTTGCGGATTTATTCATCTCATCCCAAATGGGTTTGATCATCTGTTTCCACTTTTGACCCTGACTTGATTTCGGTCGTCTAGTCGAGGGATCGTTCTTTTGATACAACGAGTTGGATGTCAACAGAATTTCCTTGTATGAATTCCAATCGTCAGATGTGTACTCATCAGACTTAACAAAACCTTTATTCGTCAAGAGTTTCCAAAGACCTTCACTGCCGACAAAACTTTTACCTGACATCACTATATCATCGTAATTAAAGGTGATTGGTTCTGATCCAATTTTAAAACGTTCACTCGTCACATCATAATAAATACCAAACTGTGAATCACTTGCACGAGGTAAGTATCTCGCACCAACACTGCCCAAATTGATTACATTTGAGTCCACCAACTGTCTGATTGATTTGTTCTGAACGTTTTCAGTTTCCACTTCATCTTCGTTATCGAAGGGAATTTGTTTACGATCTGGTGTACTGTATACTCTTGGTCTAAAGCGAGCAACCATTTGATTGTATTTTTGCTTTTTCAACCACTCCTTTGTCTTTTGTTCTAATAGATCATCTTTTTCTTTTTTCTCTTTTATTGCATCGGTAATGGTTTGATATTTCTTTTCCCTTTCTCGTTGTTCCTCTCTTTCTAAAATGTGTACGTTAGCAAATTGTTGTTGAAGTCTATTTTTTACATTTTCTAGTTGCTTTGCCTTGGTGACAGTCAACGGTTGTTTTTGGACATCTCTTGTAATGATTGTGGTGGATGGACTTTTTGTTGGAGACGATACAACTGATATCTCTTTAAGTTTTTGTTCACGTTGTTTTTGCTCTTCCAATTCAGCGTCATGAAACTTTTTCATCAGGTTACTCTCGATAGCTTCAAGTCGCTTAGCAGCTTTTGCATCCATCATAACCTGTGTTCACTTATATTATACAACGTCAGAAAAAACGACATATATCGTTTCTAGTATAAAATTGACATATCGTCGAAAAACGACATTTCAATCAAAAAACGTGATATAACGTTTCTAGTATAAAAACGACATATCCATCAAAAAACGATATTTCATTCAAAAAACGTGATATAACGTTTCTAGTATAAAAACGACATATCCATCAAAAAACGATATTTCATTCAAAAAACGTGATATAACGTTTCTAGTATAAAAACGACATTTCAATCAAAAAACGTTATATATCATTTCTAGCTTAAGATGTGACATTTCACATTGACGTTGTAAATATCGTTTTCTTCAGCATGCATTTATATTTTCCAGAGTGTGCTTTTTTAGTGGTATTGATGGTTACAAATCCATGGTGTTCCTGCCAACACCGACGACAGAGCTTTTCAAACTCAGATAACGACATATCGGAACCGACAAAATCCTCATGAATACGTGTCATGTAATGCTTGTTTTGTTGAAACACACACAGCAGATTTAGGTTGTTACGGATTACTTGCATATCGACACGACCATAGCTCTGACTCAGGTATATACATGATATATTTTTGTGACGACCTCTGATGTAATAGTCTTTGATTTTTGATTGCTCATCAAGTAAACAGTCATCAAACACAACCAGTGAATTTGGTTTGCATTCATCCAATGGAACCAAGTCGGAACAATCAGAGAAGAAGAACGCAATTTTGCAGCCGAGGTTTTTCTGCACTCTTTCATAGTGTTTTTGTAAATCATGGTACGCTGGTTGTTCTATTGATCGACTGAACACGTAGAGATGTTTAAAAGTGATACCATCTTTGTTGTATATGAGATTAAGCAGTAAATTCGTTTTCCCACACCCTGATGGACCAACGATCAAGCAACGAAGTGGTTTTGGGAAGACACCACCTTCCACCCTTTCACCATCTCTATAGTAGACGTTTATTTCCATTGCCTTTACTTATAATACCACTTGGTTGGTTTCATAGGAAACTCCTTGACAGCCTAATGTCTCGCTCTGTTGATTTAAACATCGACTGTTGTTGCTCTAGACCTACCAATCAAAGTTTCTACTCGGTGTAGACGTTTAGACAGCTCTAGAAGTTCAATTCCGTTAATGGCGTCATATGCACTGTTGCTGCGACTGATGCCACAGATCTTTCTACCTCCTTTGATCTGAATACAGTCTTTTGTGACTTCGAGACCTTTTAAAATACCATCAACTTTATCATTTACTTCTTCAAGCTGTTCTTTAACAACCACATCAGTCTTATCTATAGCTTTTGCAACTTTTACTATCCTTTTGTTCTTGGCACTAAT